CAGCAGCTAATTAACACTAAATCTAACTCTGATCCATTAACTCAGGATAATCTGTAAATTACCCGTCCAAGGTGAATTCTAACACAACCAGTTTGAGCACTGTCAGCTTTAGATAATGTCTCTATTTAAAGTCAACGGGGAACATTTCAAATTCTTGCAAAACAAGCCCTCCAGAACGAAGCTCATTCAGTCATAGAAAATCCATATACAATTATGGTAAAACATTAAAGGCTGTAATTACTGGAGCCTAGACTTGTAATGTCACTCTCTGTCACACACCATCAAAATATAAATACAACAAGGATCGGTGGGTTTATTTACTGTACACAGGTCAGTTATAAGCAAACACTAAAGCCCGTGTATTGAAAAAGCAGCATTTGTCTTGCATGCTGTGTCACTTCTGTGCAAATGACTCCTAAGTTTTTACTTGTACTATAAAACATTTGGTATCGGTCTCACTGCAGAATCTTATCAGGACACATTAGTCTCTGCTCATCTTTTATCTCAACCGGGATTACAGTGATTTCCTACAATGCTTCCATGAGCTGCAGACAACACAGACGCAAGATAACCCAGCAGCGAGCACACAACTGAGTATCAGCCCAGTATTGTAATCATAGTCTGAGCTGATAGTGTTATTTTAAATGATGCAGTCACTTGATTGAGCTGATGAAGTCTTTCACAAAGGAAATAACCAGGACAGAGTGAGCTGTCTGTCACCCTTATCCGCCATCAACAAAAAGCACTTAGAGCCTGTTAGTGAATGCCATCGGTGCAAAAGTGAACCTTCCCCGGCAGAGAGGTGGTTCTGAGCCTCGTCCTCCCCTGTGATTTCCCACAGTGGGGGAGGCCGGGAGAAAGGGTAGGTGTGCTAAATCGACAGAACTGGTAATAAATATCCCTGCTGGGAAAAAGTCTTTGGAGTAGTTTTTTTTCTTTTTTTCTACAGGTAAAAAAAGAAGGGAAAGTTAGGAAAGGCAATATATCAGCTTTAGAATGTGGGTCAGAAATATGGTGCTGTCTCCAAGAGAAATTACAAGTTCAAATTGTATTAGTTACCATACTCTTGTTTGTTGCTCCACAAATTGGCTTTGGGATTACGTTGCTATATGGATGGTGTAGTGAGGTAGCTGTTGGTTTCTTAACCGTCACCCCCAAAACACTTGCATGTTATCCAGAGGGCCCATGAGGAGACCAGTGTTCTCATGACAGCTAAGGGTTTTAAACAAAGAAAGAGAAGAAGCAACAAAAATCGAATTCTGTCAGAGACATCTTGGTGAATTTAAATAAAGCCTGCATAAATATGTTTTTTATAAGTGACAGTGTTCACTGGTTCAGCCTCGTGTTTTACAAAGTTTACTTATTTTTTCATGTTGCTATCTTAAAAAGGTGCAAAGACCAAACTTATGTCAACTTCAAAATACGTAGAGATGACAATGTAGACACGCTGGTTAAATGAACCAATTTGACTTAATTTAATGCACGTTACAAAAACACTCTAAAGTTGAGTTTCTAGATGTCCACTCATTCTATTGTTTTCATTCAGGCTTTAGATTTGTCCGGTTTTTAAAATCACAAATTATTTTCCTTCCACTTATCAATAATCCATGACTTTGTGTTTTTCTATCAAATAACACTCCAATTAACTACATTAGCTGCTGTGGTTTCAATATGGCAACATGTGTAAATGTTAAGTAGTTTAAACAATACAACACTTCCAAGGCAGAGGAGGTATCCTCCATTTTTATCCCAGTGGTCTGATAAAAAAAAAAAAGACGACAGCATTACCAGCTGCATTGCTAGTTTCAACTGCAAAGAGTAAATTTGTATCCAGAAAGAAGACTTTTCACACAATATTTTTGCTGAGTTTACTCTTCTCATACATTTTTTTTTCATATTTTGATGAGTGGTTCACTTTTACTGTGCATTCATATTGGTCAAAGCACTTCTTCATTTGTTGAGCCGAGTCCTGCGAGGGGTATTCAGAGTCGTGTTTTCCATTATAATGACATCATGTGGGAAAACCCATCATACGTTCTTCCGGGAGTTTTCCTTTTCTATTTTTGAGTTTTCCTTTTCTATTTTTTGACTCTTTTTTCTATGTTATGAAAAAAAAATTACAACGCCATTAAGGCGGAAACCTGACAAAAGCTATTAATCACTATTAGAAGCTGCTACATGTTGTTATATATGTGGTATTATGTTCATAATTATTAATTCAAGTCATCAACCATAATTAGAGTGCTGAAAGTGCTGTTGGAAAAAGTGTTACACTAGATTTCAGAAGAACAAATGCTGAATGTGTATCTTCTGTTAATTAAAAACGACCACCCTAATTGCTTCTGTAATTAAGAAGCCCTGCACTTTGGAAAAGAATGTAAAATAAAATCTGTGTACTACATTCATGTAAATGAACATTAATCAGTAGTTTTGGTTGAAGTCACTTCCAAACTACAAAAAAAAGGAAAAAAAAAAACATTAAAAAAAAGCACACAAACAAAAGCCCCACACTAACAACAACAACAAAAAAAAATATTATTTTTTTTTATTTAGTTAGAATTAGAAGCACGGAATTTCAAAATACCAGATATTGAGGTAACACTTTATTTGAAGGGGGTTGAATAAGACGGACATGACACAGTCATAAACACGACATAACACCTGTCATGAACATCAATAAGCCTTCATGAATATTACTGTTTAAACTTTACCTTTAATAACATAAAGTTACCTAATTTTTAAAGTGCAATCAGTAATTATTTTATAACAAATTTATATCAGTAATGATTTCTTGGTTAATGTCAAGTTGTCATAACGAAGACATTTGAATAATGTCAACTTTGTATTAAAAGTGTCATAATTTACCGAATGACGCTTTATGACAACAGTCATAAATATTCATGAAGGCTCATTCATGTTCATAACATGTGTTATGTCATGTTAATGAAAGTGTCACGACAGTCTTATTCACCCCCCTTCAAATAAAGTGTTACCGATATGGATTCTAAAAGTCTGTTGTCAGTAATAGTTGTCTTCTTCTGAGGTTACAGAGATTTTACACTTTATGTTTGTGTATCTTGGGTTGTTTACATGCCTGTTTCCTAGTTTGTTTCAATTAGATTTTTCTTACAGATTTGTCTTCGCTTTTGGTTCTACTTTGCTAATTACATACATCACCTACTCAGCAGTTAGCCTTTTGCTTTTGCTTTTCTGTCTTACATCCTTTTTTTTTCTTCTTCCAGTTATGCCTGTGGTTACTTTCTTTTGCTTTCTTTAAACTTGTCCATTTTTTTTTTATCTCTGTGCATTTTGCTGCAAACAGAAAGTTAAATTATTTTTTTTAAACAAAAAAATCAAAAGGACAGAGTACACCATGGATAGATCCAGGCAACACAGATGCACACAGAACAAATAACCACGTCTGCTGCCACAACTAAAGCCAATTTAGAGTGGACAACTGAGCTAACACACATGTTTTGATGGAGGAAGCCGGAGTGCCCCTGTATGTAGGGGAGAATAAATTTCACACTGCAAATCCTCAGCCAGGATTCATTGCAACAATTTGACAGTGCTGACCAAAGAGCTCGTCTGTACTAACCGCTAAGCAGATTCAAACTATACAAGGATGAAATAACACAATTCAGATGATCTAAAGCCAGTCTCCAGGGACAAACACAGATTACTCCAGATTTGGTTTGGGTTATGCACTTAAGCCATCATACTGGATGAGGTTTTAACCTAAAATATGGGTGAATGTGATTAATGCCAAAGAATAAGCTAAAAAGAATTTGGGGTTTTTTAAACAAGTAGCTTTCTTTAATATTTTGTATATTTAAGTAAATTTAAATGTACATTAGATTATCAGATAAAGTAAATGTTGTGTCCGTCTATGTTGGCTTTTTGACTAACTCTTTGGTCAAGGGGTAAATATTGAAGTTAGCTATCCCAATTGTTCGCTTCAATTGTTCTGGGTCTCGTCCAACCTGTACCCATGCTTCTCCAAGGTTGGAGAAGCAGGATTCAATTTGTATTCTCCATTAATCTGGAATAAACTTCCAGAAAACTGCAAAAACGATGGAACAGCGAGTTCCCTTTAAATCAAGGCCAAAAATCCCTAATTTAAAAGGAACTTGACTTTTGTTTTTTTGCAAAACTGAACGTGATTTTTAGTATTTAGTCCAAAATTTTGCTATGTTGCTTTTTGGAGATTTCGATGTTGACATTTGAAAAAATGTTAAATTTCTTGCTTGTTTGTTGTTTTACGTAAGACACTTTAAATTATCATGCTGCTGAAATATGCTGTACATATAAACGTGCCTTGTCTAGTCAGTATCACACATTATCATGTCATGATTTTCAATGAAACCATATGATGGTCTTTAAGAAATAATGAGTCTATTTATCGTCTAATATCTGACCAACAGCTTGACTAAACAACTTCTGTCTCAAAATTATTTGTTTTAACCAAACAAAGCAACAATTATTATGGTGACGGACCACAATAATTTCCTGTCAAGGAAGTCATCGAGGCAAAATTCAAAAGCATGAAAAGCAATGCTCTAACCAGAAAGACTTTAATATAACTTGGAACTAAGTAGGGAGATGAAGACAGAGAAACTTTCCTCTCACTCCTCTCCTCTGAGCTGTCCTTGAATCAGGAACACGCCCCAGCTGCTTCACTGGAGCTGCACGGCAGCTCCATACAGGGAGGAATGACTGGGAGACGTGGGCAGCTCCCTAGTGTGAATCTATACATATGTGAAGCAGCCCGTATCTGGGAATGAGGGAGTAGGCTTAGTATACCTCTTCAGAAGAAATCAATGTTTGAAAGAAAAAAAGAAAAAGAAAAAAAAAACATACATAGAGAAAGCTTCATTCAAAGCAACATATGTTAATGCTTGCTGGGCTCTTGGGGAGATAAAAGGTTGATCCAGACCTTTTTTATTGGAAACTGTGTGCGACATAAATCATGTACCAAGAAAATAGAAACAATAACTCACCTTTCGCTTTGCTTTTTGTCCCAGCCACTGATAGCATGAGGGGATAAAACAAGGAAACAATAAGTTAGATAGGTGGGATCAAGACTTTCTATTGATAGCGTTGTGTGTTTTTTTTTTGCTGTTGTTCTTCTTTCCATAGTCAGAAAAACAACATTATTGAATAGTAGAAATAGAAGCAGAAAATAGGGCTTAGTTAATGCTAAATGAAACAATGAAATTATAGTTTATAAAAAGGCAAGAAACAAATATTATACCATTTATATTCCAAAAAACTCATAAATGGCCAGTTGCATTTTTCATTGTATGTTTGATAAAAAAAAACTAAATGAAGAGCAAAAAGTTATAATCTACAAAGATAAATACATTTAATCTACATGTGAATGGTGAATTAGGTTGTAGATTTTCTAACTCAAAGGGAGGAAAACTATTCACATAATATTGCAGTCAATTTGTGAAAGGGCTTATAAATGGAAAAATCTGTTTTTGTGACAGCTTATACAATGCATGGGTTGCTGTATTATTGACCTCAGTGGATGGGGTACAAGAGAAAAAAAAATTGCTTTTTCTACAGTCCAAACTGCAAAATTAGATTTTGCTCGAGAACATGACGGAAGCCTAATGAATATTGGGAGCACGTCCTTTGCTATAATGAGAACAAGATAAATATGCTCAGCTCAGATTATTTGGCATGAACTTGACCTGGAATTCCTGGTCTAGGAAGTGAGGAACTCTTACCATAATTTAATAATACGAGGGTTGCAAAGTGCAAAAGCTTTTGGGACATGAAATTTAAAGACATCACCAAGAGCTCCTGTGAATGTACTGAAATATGAGCTGACAAGATGACTTCCATTCTCCTGCAGCTCAAGAAAGGAAGAAAGTTCCAGCACGATAACAATTCAAAGCATACCACTGAAATCAGACAGGAGTTTCTAAAAAAGAAAGTAAGAGCTTTGACACATTTTGGGTATTATGAGGTAGAAGTCAGAGCAACTTTCTTCCCTGCAGCAAAGAGAAGCTGAAAAGTTCCGTGAATAATGGTGGAACATATCTGCAGAATTTTGTGTATAACTAGTATCTTCTTTGGTCATATGGACTGAAAAAAAAAAAAAAACTAAGCTGTCACAAAGAGTCAAAGTTAGATTTGCCAGCTTTCTGTTTTTTTATTTTTTGCAGAACTGAACAATTAAAAATTTTTTTTTGATACAATCTTTTATTTTAGGCTAATTTTATTGTATTGTGAAACAGAACGTTTAAGAGATTATTGAGTATCTGCTCACTACTGAATAAACAATAGCTATTATGTTGTTAATTTATAAATCATTGATTTGAATGCTCACTACTATATTTTAAACGTGTTGGTCTCTTAAGTGAGCATTGGAGCAAATTCTTTACCAGTCTGCAGTCTGCTAAGTGGCATGTATCTTAGTGCTTTTAGTGTAAAACTGCATAGTCTGGGGTAAAATATAATTTACCAAGCAAACAAATTCAAATATTTTCCTCTTGCAAACAGTGCCTTTTACAGCCACGTTTTTACAGGAGCAATATGCCTTTTTGTCCAGAGCAGCCAGTTGTGCCTCGGAAGCACTTTCTTGCTTGTTTTGTAGGAATGGGCAACCCCTGGTGGTACGCAAGATTCAAGAAAAATGTAAACTGATGATGCACAAGTTGATGTCTGATTTGTTGCTAATCCAAAAGGCTGCTTTGGTGAGTTTGGATTGGATTTAACAATCACTAGTATGCAGTGCTGCACATGTAGACTGATCAGACTTCCAGTGAATATTTCTAATTTTAATCAAGATTCTTTATAACACAGTTTGACACTTGCAAAACCTTTGTTCTGTGAGTTATTTTACCGTCATTACAATGAAACTTATCGTTTAAAAAACACTTTGTGACAAAAAAAAAAAAAACAATTTGTTAAAGAAAATGTTGAGATCATTATCAGATCAGTATTGTTTCATAATGTGTACAGATTTTACACAAAGGGCTTTTGCAGGGGGATTAGGAATATAAGGGTTTACACCACTTCCTGATTGTGAAAGCAAATTGGACTATTGATTTGCTTTCACAAATCAATAGTGAAAGCAAATCATTATTCCTTTCAGTGATTTGCAATAGTCACTGTCAACCCTCAACCAAATAGAGCACAGTGGAAAAAGAATGGCAAATTAATTTGCTGCTCCACTAAATATATCAAATATATCACTGAGATAGAAGATTCATACTGCTTCCTTAAATATGATGAAGATGAACATTGCCATTTAAATGGATATACAATTTTTAAAGTGCTTTATCAAAAATCCAAAAAAAAAAAAAAAAAAAAAAAAAAAAAAAACCCTTAAAAGGGGTTTG